AGAAATATGGCGACGGTAACGTATAATTTTTCTCTAAGACTTTTACCGGTATCTGTTTTTTTTTCAATCTATCCTGCGAAGGGGGGCCATTTTGAAAATCGAAATTGAAAAAAAATGTTAAGGACAATTGTTGTAGTAGATAGTGTAGGGATTTTATCAGGTTGTTCGGAAAGTCATTTCGTTTTTCTTCAACAGAGAACCTAATTGTATTGTTTCACAGCCAACTTTACACTTAAGCCGCATAAACATTAAAATTTTGACAGCTGACATAGTAATGCTTGTATGTTAAAACTTTTTTTTGATTCTTTGCAATAGTTTTTGTTTGGTGCCCTATCAAAGATGGAAAATCAAAATCAGCATTTTCGACATATTTTACTCTTTTACTATCGAAAAGGTAAAAATGCAGTTCAGGCAAGGCGGAAATTGTGCGATGTGTATGGAGAAGATGTACTGACTGAACGACAATGCCAAAATTGGTTTGCAAAATTTCGTTCCGGCAATTTCGATCTTGAAGATGCACCACGTTCTGGAAGACCCGTTGAAGCCGATGGAGACGAAATAAAGGCATTGGTAGATGCAAACCGTCAAATAACCACTCGTGAGATTGCTGAGAGGTTACATTTATCGAATTCGACCGTTCATCATCACGTGAAACGTCTTGGTTTTATTTCAAAACTTAACATATGGGTTCCACATGTTCTTACAGAGCGAAATTTGCTTCGGCGCATTAACGACTGTGATTTGCCTCTCAAAATTATCCATTTTTGAAGCGTATCATTACTGGCGACGAGAAATGGGTTGTTTACAAAAATGTTAAGCGGAAGAGATCATGGAGTAAAAAAGGTGAACCAGCTCAAACCACTGCGAAGGCCGATATTCACCAAAAAAAGGTTATGCTATCTGTTTGGTGGGATTTCAAAGGGATAGTTTTTTTTTGAGCTTCTACCGGACAATACCACGATTAATTCTGAAGTGTACTGTGGTCAACTAGACAAATTGAACGATTCACTTAAACAGAAAAGGCCAGAATTGGTCAATAGAAAACGTGTAGTGTTCCACCACGATAATGCGAGACCTCACACAAGTTTGGTAACCCGCCAAAAGCTTTTACAGCTTGAATGGGATGTACTACCACACCCACCATATTCTCCAGATTTGGCACCTTCAGACTACTACTTGTTCCGGTCTCTGCACAATTTTTTGGACGGGAAGACCTTCACCTCAAATGAAGACGTCAAATTTCACTTGGACCAGTATTTTGCCAGCAAAGACCAGAAGTTTTATGAGCGTGGAATCAATCTCCTGCCCGAAAGATGGCAAAAGGTATTGGACCAAAATGGAGAATATATAATTTAATAAAATGTTTATACACTTTAAAAAATTCGTCTTTCATTTTCACCACACAAAACGAAATGACTTTCCGAACAACCCCAATATAAATGTTTTACTTTCAAAAATCGGTGGAGTGGTTATCAAAAAAGGTTTTTTTTGAAATTTTTGATCGATGGCTATTTTATTAGATAAAAAAATAAAAAATAATTGTATATTTAGAGAGCTGAAAGATAGTTTTGAAAATGTTACGGCACAAAAATTTTGAGTTTTCGTAGTAATACCTGTAGTTTCGAGACTAAAATTTTCTTATTTTAGAAACAAACCTTCAAAACGGTATGCTGATGATGAGATGGCCTTAGAAAGTGGACATGCGGTACTACGGTGCCTCCCTATCATTGCCTGATGATTCAGATTAACGTTTTTCTCAAGATTTGAAATAGCTGGCGAACGTCGCCTGCCTGTGGGCGAGCCTCTGGGTTTTGAAATTAATGGGGAGATCCGAAAAGAACGCGTCTTCGGTAAAAAGGGCATAGTTCTGTTTTTACCAGGACGAAAACAGGAAGATCGACAAAGACACTAGGCGAAAGTTTATCGCCCTTACGCCGTTCAACGACCAGCTGGAACGATGCACCTTGATGTTTTTGGAAAAAAAAATAATATAAATATATAATATGACATTCTTAGAATCTCGAAATTCGTGACCTAATTTTTATTGTTACAGAATTTGAAATGTTTTATGGATTTTCTTTTGCTCTTGTTGTCTTAATTTAGTTCGTGAAGTATTTGTGTAGGCTATGCCAGGGTTTTTGTCCCGAAGAAGGTTTCCCTGACATCGCCTGGTTGTGTGCGTATTATTTTATGTTCTCGTCACGCTCGTTCACGGCCAAAATTAAGAATTTTTATTCAATTTCCTTTCCCATTTGCGTATCGAAACCGCCAGTTTTAGCACCGTTTGCTACCCAGATCTACTATACAGGGTGTTACATGATCGTGTGTAAAAAAAATTGGGTAATAGAGGGGATCAAGACGAGCACTTTTCCAAATAAACCGAGGCTCCAACGTGTTTCGTTTGGGAGCCACCCTTCCAAAGAAGTGGTCAAATTTAGATTTCTTCTTTATTTTTTTTATCTCACCAACTATAAGAGTTACACAGATGGGCGGCACGTTTTTGAATACGTTTTCGGCTATCCGATTTTTTAATTTTTTTTCAAAATTCCTACCACGAAAGGACGCACCCCAACTTGGGGGTTCGAAAAAAAATTCTGTTTTCGACGAAATTTGGTATCTGGGGGTTTCTGAACATGATAATCACGAATCTCGAATTAGTTTTTGAAAATTCGCAAAAAAAAAGTTCCACTGCAATTCTTGGCCGGACAACGAAAATGGAGAGAATTCCACGAACTTTGTTGTGTACATACTTGATGAGGTAAGGAACAAAATTTTTTTTTAAATAACTGCAAACAAAAGTTATACTCATTTGAAGGTTTGGCTTTCAGGTTGCAAAGTGTCCCCTGCCTACTTTCGCATCTAGTTAATTGAAAATGTCGCAAGTAACAAAAAAATAACGATTTAAGTCGATCGACTTGCAATAATGATTATTGATTGTAATGGAACTCTACTTAAATTCCACGACCCGCAGCCACGGAATTTTTGGAATCGAATTTGCAGACTTGAAGACCATGATCGGCATATCGAATTTTTTGTGATCATTTAATCATAATATCGACTTAAATCGTTATTTTTTTGTTATTTGCGACATTTTCAATCAACTACATGCGAAGATCACTCACTAGTAGGCGGGGGACACTTTGTAACCTGAAGGCCCAATCTTCAAATGAGTGTAACATTTGTTTGTTTTGTTTTTGGGCCCTTTCGTAGTAGGAATTTTGAAAAAATCTTTTCAAAATCGGATAGGGCATACGTGAAAAGGTATTCAAAAACGTGCCACCCACCTTTGTAACTCTTATGGTTGCTGAGAAAAAAATTAGAGAAGAAATCCAAATTTCACCACGTCTTTGGGGGTGGCTACCAAACGAAACACGTTGGACCCTCGGTTTATTTGGAAAAAGTGCTCGTCTTGATCCCCTCTATCATGTTTTTTTTACATACGGTCATGTAACACCCTGTATACCACCTTATTTAATTACCACATAACAACATAACGAGTCAATAACCTAAGGAGCAACTATAAGTCAATGAGTCAGTAAGTAAATATCATCAAACAGTGGCGTACCGACGTGGATGTAATATTTTCAACCCCACAATGCATACTTTTCGAGTTTTCCGCGAATAACCAATTAAAAACATTCACCCTCTCTATGAAAAACTGAAACCTTCGCTTGCGAATAACTCGAAAAGTAGTAACTTTACAAAAAAATTTATAGAACACGTTTTGCTTAGAATTCATTTTTCGATCTTTTGCGAGTGAAAGTGCCCTTTTGGCATCGCTCCATTTTGAAAAAATTGCCAGGTCAAAACCTTCGTTTCCTGGGATAATTTATTGTCCCTTTAAAAGAAAAACACTGTATAGAACAGAGTAAATGCGAGAGAGCAAGAGGAGGGTGCTACAACAATATCCGTTATCAAACAACGCCCTTGCAACCTAAAACCTCGTTTATTTGCATTTCTTATCAAATTATATGCAAATAGAAATTGTATTGTGTGGTGACATTCGTGAATGTAGTTAGGTAAGGCGCCTCCAAAACAAATAGGTACTGATAAATGATATTCTTAAAAGAAATCTTTGTGGAAATGAGGTGGAAAACTTGCCATTTCCAGTCGTGTAAGCCGCTGTACCGACGAGATTATTATGACGTTTTTGAAGGGTGCGTAAGCTCGTTACTGCATTGCGCTTAAATCCCCCGAAATCCGACGCCGGATTACCGATGCCTATCTGATTTCAAAACAAAAATGAGATACAATTATCAGCCCGAGGTCGTTATATAAAAGATAAACAAGCTATAATTATCTGTTTCTATTGTGATTCACGAAACTGACGTCAATTAGCAATTGCCAATTGCACCACTTAGGTACATGTATTGACATTGAAGACGCACATTTATCCGCAAACATACATTTTTTAATTAATTTCATCCGGCGTCAAGGAACACCATTAGTGCATAAGGGTTTCTGACAATATACCCCATGTAAGCCGTGTATACATAAAAATTTAATTACATGGAACGTGGAAAACTTTTTAATTGCATTTAATTATTCATTTAAAAGCTTGGACTATGAAATGACACAACGTTTCAACCGAATAAAATGCACTAACAAAAAGACAAAAGACAGAAGAAATCTGAGTGAAATGGAAGAGAAGCCCCAGCTCCCAAGGCAGTGAATTGTAAAGCCTGTAACCGAGCACATGATTGGCCAAACAACCAGAAACCCAAAACGTGATTTCAAAAGCCCATGACTTGCACGTGTTGCAACAAAACAATTTTTGGCAATGAACTCGTCTCGATGTAGAAAGATCATCCTCTACGAGCGTAAGTAAACAATAAACTTTAAATTCAACAGTTCAATTTGATTTGCCAAGGCTAAGCAAAACTTGGGCCAGGTCAGTGTTGCTAAGGTCGACCAAAAACAATCAATTTTAATTGCCAATCAAAATCAAAAATTTGCATAACGCTCAATTACCCGGAGAGGTCTGTAAAAAAAAAGCTTACCCGTTTCTTGGAACGGCGAAAAAGTTTCAACGCATCCAGCTCGTACAAACTGTTATTAAGAGATTCGGACAGCTTCCCAAATCGTTTTTTGGAAAACATAATTTCGCCACCACTAATAAACACTAATAAGCACATTAGTATCGAGAGATTCGATACCGCACGTAACTAATTAACGACTGAATCTATTACGTACTGCCAGCGACATAGTAATACGTCTACTAACCTTTTCGCGTATTATCCCATTTGAGAAAAAAAAACTGAGGTAAGTGGATACCCGTTTATCTTAATAATCTTTAATGAACAAACAGATAACTGTTTCATTGGTATTATCAGCAGACGGAAACGTTTAAATGTCACTTTTGAACGTTGCCTGATCTGCATGGATCTTTGCCAATGCAATAATAAGTTTGCCATGTGCAAAACATAATACCGCACCAATACTAAACGTAGGTATCATTTATTAGGCCCCAATACATTAAAAATCTGAAAGTAATTTAAATACGCTCTTCTACAGGGTGTTTCATAATTGAATGTCAATATTTAAGGGGGCGACATTTGGGCCCATTTTAAAAAGAACCTATGTTCTTTACTTTTGAGATACAGGGTGGTAAAGTTTTCAAAAATAAATCATTTATTATTAACATCTGTAATACCACTTTAGATATTTTAATGAAATTTGCCATGTACTACATATTCAGAGACATTTTTTAACGTACCACATTTTTTTAATTTCCACCAGTGGCGTTCGTACGAAATTTCACATGTCCATTTTGGCAGACATTGTTGGTACGCCACTGATTTCTCTGTAAATAAAAATTATTCTTGAAATCCCCGATCATTTCTAAGCAAATTTGATCCCTTTGTTTTTTTCAATCCGATGTACGGTTTTCGCTTAAAAAAATAACAGTTTCTCTGCATGATCATGACAATATCACCGTGCAGAGAAAAAAATATTTTCATTTATGAGCAGATTTGATCATCTGATTTTTTTCAATCCGACACACGGTTTTCACGTCACACTATGCCATTGTGTGCTTTTTTTCTCTGCACGGTGATATTGTCATATTAACGATATTGTCACGATCAAGGCAGTGATTTTATCCAAATGCATGTTTTAAATTAATAATATGCCATTGTGTGCTTTTGGATCTGGGCTGATCAACGTGAATAGAGTTCAAATAACCCAATTAATTTTTGCATATTTCAGTGCCCTTGTGCATAAAATATTATCAAGAGCATATTCAAATAAAATATTATCAAGAGCATATTCAAGCATTTTTGATCCCTGTGTAGTTATTTCTAAAGAATTCTTGTCTCTGGCCTATTATAAAATTGCAAAGCAAGAAACTTTTGCGCTTTCCTGTTCATAAGTCGACGCCACGGGTTTTGTGTATCTTAGTGAGTCATAAATTCCGACGATTGCATAAAAAGCTTGCAGTTTTTACGTCTGCATTTGTAGTCGCTGCCGTAATTATTAATTTTTCTTTGGAGTTTTACAAAGCAGTACCTACTTAGTAGCATTTTCCTTCTCGTTGGTATCAAAGGGTAGTGTAAGTTGTAATTAATTAGTTTTTAGTTATATTTTGTGAATTTATTCAATTTTTTGAAAATTATACTATGAAGTTATTGCAACCTGTTGTTTTAAATACCAAAATTTGTGGAAAAATTGTGCATTTTAAAAGAACATGCATATTTGGTGCATAATTATCACTATTTTTGTGCATATATATGCGCATATTTCTACATGTTGAAGTGCATATTATTCCTTGCCTTGGTCATGATCATGCAGAGAAACCCCTTAAATGTTGACATTCAAATATGAAACACCCTGTATACTATGGAAAAGCAAAGAGTATAGTACAGGATGATTCAAAATTGGGTGCGAAGATTTTAAGGGCGTATTTACCAGTCAAAAATAAGAAATTCTTTTCATATAATCGGATGTCCTAACTTGCTTCATTTTCTAGATACAGGGTGTAAACGTTTTTTTAATAAGAAAAACACCCTGTATCTAGAAAACGAAGCATTTTCTAGATCCAGGGTGTAAAAGTTTTTTTAATAAGAAAAACACCCTGTATCTAGAAAACGAAGCAAGTTAGGACATACGATTAAATGAAAAAAATTCTTATTTTTGGCTGGCAAATATGCATAACACTTGGGACAAGCTATCGTACACTTTCTGTAGATTGCCCAAGTCGCAAAATAGCACTAACGTAGAAGCTTTAAAATGTTATAATTACTTACTCCAGTGTATAAAAACATTAAAACCCCATCAATTTCGAAAAATAGTCAAACAGTATTTAGTAAAGTGGGCGTTTTACAGTGTATAATTTGTTTAGGGGGGGTGCCATTTGAAATTTTTAAAAAATATGACATTTGGCGAATGTCGATCAAAAATTTTATTTTTTCGATAAAGTACCTAAAAAATTATGTGGCAGATGGAAGATATCTTAACCTGTGCCTCAATTCAAAAATTAGCCGCCTGCGCGATTTAGTTTCTCACACAAAATATTTATAAAAACCGTCAAATTTTGAAAAAAAAAGCGAAATCGTTAAAGTTAGGGATATAACATGTTTCATAAAAAACTAAGTACTTTTCAAGCGAATCAGTAATAAAATATAGGGTGTTCCGTTTAAAAAAAAATCAAGTTCGATACGCCGCTGGTGTTCAAAAATATTTTAGAAACATGCCGGCGATAATTGTGTACAATTTTGCTCTAAGACTTTTTCGGTATCTTTTATAGTAAAGGAATTATGATCGGAGGGGTCTTAGATGCTACACCCTGTATATTTAGGACATCCTGGATATACAGTGTATCATTTCAAGTATATTCGTATAATATGCAGTACATATGAAATATTTTTTTATTTTTATTTATTTATTTTTTATTTATTTAATTGCGTTCTCTGACATAATTATACATGTATGGAACTGTCAATAATGGAATATGAGGTATGAAGCCTTGAGACAAACAAACTACTACAATTAAAATTTACAAATCACAGATTACAAATTAAAAGTGTCGTTATGCTTAATTTCTAATATCACATTAAATTTGAGAATATATTTTGTCATGGGTACTCAGGTATTCATCTATAGAGTAGAAGCATTGTTTCTTTAAGTAATATTTGACATCGCATTTAAAATATTTCAGATTTGTGGGGATACATTCTATGCAGGGCCGGATTTAATGCTTATGCGCCCCAGGGCCCATGAATAGGTAGATACTTTTGTGAGAAATATTGAATAACCCATAAACACAGGGTTTAGACACAGGAAGTCCCTTATAGATATTGAAGAGAACACAAAAGACTATCGAATAGCGAAATAAAATGGTGGTAATTTGCGGTAATGTGAAAGAAAAAATAGTCATGGCACTTTGAAATTGAGAAATTTTATCATTTTATTCTGAACACCCTGTATCACTAAATCTCACTTTCTCATTATCAAAGTGTTGCCTTTTACTCGGATTAACATTATTGCTCAAATTTTGTTTCTTAACTTAAAAAAAGATCGCTACGATTCATGAAAGTGATGCTTGCCTATATGGGGAATTATTCGGAAAAAAAATAAATGATGGCAACATTGACAAAAAACCAAAAAGTGAATAGGTTTCAATGTAGAAACAAATGACATAGAAACAACTAAAAATATAGTGTTCTACTCGGTGTTCTATTAAAAAAATCGGGTTTTTTACACCGTAAAAATTGGACACCCTGTACATTCAAAAATAAATTCTATAGACTCGCAACCATGTATAGTTGACATTTGCACAAAAGGTTTTTTTAATATAGTTTTACCAGGTATGAGCTAGGAAAGACGGCGCACTATTGCAGGACCCTGTATAATTCAAATCATCTTTTAAACCGGAATTATCATAACTGTGCATTTTTAATTTGAACAAATTTAAATTGGTTTGGCAACCGTGAGCCCGTTCGAAAGATGCGCCCCTACGTCCGGGCCTTGTGGTAAATCCAGCCCTGATTCTATGTATATGTATATACATGAATATTTCGAGATATCCATAAGATATACATGTATACAGAGTGGGCCATTAGCGTGTAGGTGTATTAAGGTGCATACTTAAAATTCATTGTGGGGGAATGTTGAAGGACCCTTAAGGCTACAACCTACAAACATTTTCGCCTAAATTGCAATTGTTATACAGGGTGATTTATATCAAAGTTGCATTTTTTAAATGGAACCCTCTATATATTATTACATATTTGGATTGCTTGGTTAATTTTAGCGTGACTTTATGTATTCCACATGATATCTAAACTGTAAAGTCACGGCCTTCTAAGTTTTATGATAACTGCGATATTCAATTTTTACTGCACATCTACTTTTTTAAAAAACGATATTTTTGATATAATGTGTAATACATAGTCACACTAAAATTTACCAAGGAATCGAAATATGTAATAATATACAGCGGGTTCCATTTAAAAAAATGCAACTTTGATATAAATCACCCTGTATAACAATTGCAATTTCGGTGCAAATATTTTTAGGTTCTAGGCTTAAGAGTCCTTCAATATTCCCCCACAATGAATTGTAAATATGCGCGTTAATAAACCCACAATCGTCCACCCACACACTAATGGCCCACCCTGTATACCATGAATCACCTTTACTATGACAAACGCATATCCACTACTCTATTATGTTGACGCGTTTTTTTAAAAATGGACCATAGGGAAATAACATTGCATGCAAAATCGTATGTTCCAGTTTAAGATAAACGCACTGTATATGTACCTATTAGAAAATATCGAAGCGGTAAAGAGATAAACCAAACACGTTTGAAATAGTGATTCACCATTGACCAAGGTTGAAATCCTTGAATGATGTGGCATAAAATAGTACCCTTCAAAACAAAATTCACCCCACGAATGCAGTAGCTAGCTCTTTGATGAAAAAATAGACAGACGTTCAAAAATTCAAAAGTTCCAAGTAACCGTTACTTAAAATATCTTAATCATTGGCAGATGCTATAAACAAAAACGTTTGCAATTTCAAAAATTAGTGCGATTTTAAAGCGTATGAAAACTTACACATGATAAATCCTACCTTTCTCTGCACGGCAGCATTTTACATTCACTACCCCCAATCCACCTTCACAAAATATTCACAACAAACGTTACGATATACACACACAACCCTGGCTGCGAAATAACTGCAATAATAGAGTCGAATTCAACTTTAGTGGGTGTTATCAGTTACCT